GTGCCTGTTATCCTATACTTACGCCGTACCCAGACGATGACTGTATCGTTATTTGTAAACAAAATGCGGACGTGCTCGCTGCACTGTAGGCACTTCGCGACCTGCATCAACTGCGCCATTATTGCTGGCCGTGAATCATTTTTGTTTATCGATTTGCTACTTTGTTATTAAAACTACATATTTATGGGCTGGTTACATGATGCGTACAAGACTCATGCCAAGTAATAAACATTGAGATATTGCGATTCGGTGCGTTAATTACGTAATATTCTAGAAATTTGTAAGTTGTATTGTTCGTAATAAAAATATATATTCTGGCAAGTTACTTTTAATAAACAAAAGAAGAAAAGAAAAGAGCGTACACCTTCCTTAAAGGCCGGCAACGCATCTGCGGTTCCTCTGGCGCTGCGGATGTCCATGGGCGTCGGATCAAATAATATTAGGCGATTCGTTGCTCGTTTGCCCCCTTCTCCTATAAAAAAAAACATGATGGTAAATTGTACGAAAAAATGAAAATATCAATTCTGTTGATTTTTAAATAAAATTACCCGTGACTTCTTGTCTCATCCTTCATTCAACATCATACCTTTGTCTGTCTCTATTATCCTGGAGTATAGAAGCACAGTATAAAATTATTTTTATCTCTAATTAAAATATACGGTAGCAACTCTATCAATTACTAAGGTTACTTAGTAGCAACAATTCTGTATCTTATGTTTAAAGTAATTTTCTTATAAAAATACAGCCATAAACTGTTGCAACGCATTATCTTGTAGCACTAATGACGCGTTAGTTGAATAGTTACCAACATAACAATACGACAGACGATAAAGCGAAGTCAGGATAAGTAATTTTCCATGTAACCACTGTGAGTCGTCGCGACTGCGCCGGAATATACTAAACTAAGTATATAGAGACATGCTTCTTATTGCTGTTTGTTCACATTATTCACTCTAAGATATTATAATGCAAACTGCAGCTGGACAAACAAACTGTACAATCAATTCTTTTTAAAGCTTCTACGATCGCGACGAAACGTTTTGATTGTTTGATAGACGTTTTTATTAAAAATGTCGTTTCGTGCAGTATAACAGACTGGAAGTCTCATCAAAATCCCATCAAAACTTTAAAAAGAAACTAGTTGATGTTATTTTAGTTGTCTTTGCGAGGTTCGAAGACATTCCTGCATTTATATTGGATTCAATGTATATTCCTTTGATTGTCGCAATAAAATATACCTTTTAATGAGTCTGTAATCAAAAGAATCTCATTTCATCACGAAATAGACTCCATATGTCTGATACTGAGGAATATGTATTATATTAAAACGTTCGTTCAATCTAAACATTCATAATGTGAAAGCAAATAGGCATGAAATCTTCATTTCACGTTCGTTAGATTTTTATTTATTATTCTTAACTTTTCTTTTTCGTACCTCCAAAAGTTCCTTGCACATAATTATACAAGATTTTTTTTCTGCATATGGTTATTTATATGACACCAATTTAAATAAAAATCTTTATAACACAATGTAAAGAGTCGAGCGCGAACATCGCTTGGCGCGCGGAATGTGCGAGACGTGACGCTAATTCACGCGACAAAATATCTTGTCTAAGGAATAACGAATTTTTGCTACGTCTTCACACCTTCCCCTCAACACATAGGTGGCGTTGTCTCAGGAATTTTAGAAGCAGGTATGTTCAAGCATACGCGTACCACTCATGTTCTCATTCCCAACAGTTTTACGCCGCTATTCATATTTATGGTATATTCCATCTCGGGAATATTAATAAATTGTCCGCTTCATAAATTCCCTGAACCCGGTCCGATGTAACGACATTTACAAAGTTGCCACAGTAATAAATGCTCTAGATTTACATAAACCGCTGGATCCTTTGACAGTTCGAATACTGATGAGACTCAGACGAGTTACGGCGAGAGTAATGGTTGCTGCGATATAAATCCATAATTTCTTAGCAAACTTGGAATCAATATCGCCCGGATAAAATTTAATATCTCAAATATTTTTAGCGAGTTGTCGAATATTATTTCAGTATTTATATAAAGGTTTGAATTATATTGAAATGGAAAGCATTTGTTGATACAAAGAGTTGAGTATTAACGTGAAGCTCTCAGACAATGGCAAACACGAGGCGGAACGTAACGCCGACGTCACGATAAATGTATCGAGCGCCGCAAACACCATTCGCTCCCAGACTTATTGTTTCAGATGCCATCGTTGAAAAATTGCTATTCGTGCTGCGTCGACGCTTGTCATTCTCGATCAAAACACTCCGTTACCCTTGAAGGCGGCTTTTCGTTGAAAGCTTCTATCGAAAAATATCCTTATTTCTATTATTCAAATCAGCATAAAATTTTCAATAACATATTTAACCAGCTTCGGATCAGCCGTATTGGATATGTCGCGGCGGCTAATTGGATTTGCGGCCAGGCTTCTCATTTTTAACCCGGCTTCCCGACTGCCTTCCCAGCTTTTCGCGTATTTAATTTTTATTTGAACTAGTCGCTCGCCACCACGAGTGCCGACGACGGCGAAATATAATAGGAAAAGTTTCATTTGCCTAATTAAAAATAAGCCGCCCCCGGGAACGATCCGGATTTATTATCATTATTCAACCTTCGGGCCGGCGATGTTTTATATTAAAAGCTCGTTCGTAAACATTATACTCGGAGGACAAATGCAAAGAACAATGGAAACCGAGCGTTTACAATGTAACGCGAATAGCTTACCGTCGTCGTTCGTTGAGGGAAAACAAAAAGTAAAGACCTCTGCCGTGCGACGAGTAAGAAACTCGATCGTGGATTTTAATTATGAGAAATACAATCGCACTAGTAGCAGACGCGGGGACAAAGAGGAGGACAATCCCTGGCGTGTTGCACATTTCCATGTCCGTATGCGGCAAAAGCGCACCGGTTTTAGGGAGGCACCCTCGCCGTCTCTTCAATTATAGCGTCACCTTCAATTCGAAAAGTTTTAATGTGTATACATTCGTTTTGCGGCACGTCGAGTACAAACGAGCTCTGAAGCGCACTTCACTCCTCTCCTCTTCCGAAACGAGCTCTACGCGCTTTTGTTATTTGAACAGCGAAACAAACGAACAGACTTACGAATGATACTCGCCTCGGGATTCTGGCGACGGCGAATCGACTTTTAATTTGTTTACTGACTTAATTAAACTTTATAGATTTAAGCGAATCAGTTTCGAAAGCTTTATATTATTCTGCAGCTTAGATTCGCAGAACACGGAGACGTTCAAGTTTACAGGGTGCCAAGTTTCCCCACACTATGTAAATTCGGTCGACGTAATTAGAGGAAGGAATGATCGTCTGGCCCGATCAAATAGCCTCGTGTGCTCGTAACTGGCCGCAGACTAGACTGCATCGTTTTCTATTCCATTTGTGCAACTGTGTCCACGAAAGCTGCGTATCTACTAGTTCTAGTACAACACGAATACATTGGATGTAGTAAGAAAGTTTTTATGTACCATTTTATATCGGCGTTCGATCGGATACAACCATAAAAGGCAACGATTGACAAGCAACGCGTGATCGAATTGTGTAAATATATAGTGCGCTTTTGAGATCACTTCAATCGCGGAGTACCTACGACAGTGAATTGTGCAAGTCGGCACCGTGTCGCCGCGCCGGGTTCGTTGGCCGCGATCTCCGACCTTACTAAACTTTCGCGAGCGCGACGCTTAACAATTTAATTGTCACCCATTAGACCTAAGGCGCAAACTCCAGCATACTTCTAATGATGTTACTCCGTAATTCATTACATTCAATCATCAAGTACGAAATTTGCGTGTCGTGTCAGGATGCGAGCGCTGCTGTTTAACGTTATCAATCATAAAGCATCCGCGGCGATAGCGGCCGCTCGTCGGAATAAATCAATCAAACGTGTCTCTACCAGACGGTACTCGCGGCCAGTTATTTATCATCTTCGAATTGACGACCGACATGCAATGATCGCAATTTGCAAATGAAGCCGACCGAGTGGAATCATCATTTCTAAGTCACATAAACGCTCTTAACAGAAATAGACGAGTTGGGAAGCAGATATCACAACGTTGTGCCGGATGGTCGCCCCCGCCCGCTCGTCTCTTGGCAAACTGCACCGAGCCACGCTGCTTTTGCAAATCATAGTAAGTTTGTTTGCGCGGGTCGACGCTCTCGCCGGCAACGTTTTATGTGTTCCTGGTGTCACGACGTCATTCTAATAATAGAATAATAGGAATGCTAGTATCGAACGCCGCGGTATGCGCGAGTCGTCGTCTGCAGTATGCGTTACGCATGCAATGCGTAAACCACGTGCATAATTCGAACATCATATGTTTCACATGTGATGCAAAGTACTAACGTAAATGTGGACGATGTCAAAGCGAAACTGTCGATACAATACATGGATTGGATTCGGGTCGTCTGTTCGCCGAGTGCTTTAGCAGTCGGTAATATGTTTAATTAAGCCAGTGCTGTGGGGACGTTGTTAAACTTTCATTATTATTCGCTTTCGCAAATCGCTCGTACGTGAACGAATAGCGCTCACGATCGATCTCGGCGGCGCTCGTGCGAGCCTTTTGTTTGACTTCGACTCCGAATTCAGCGTAATTGCCTTTCAGCCTTTCATTATTCAACTTTATGCAGACGTTTACTTGCGTTATTATGAAGGGAGAGTCGGTGCGGTGAGTGTCGTGGGTGTATGCATTAATCGCAATATGTTAATGTGGGGATATGAAATATTGAAATTACAAGTTCGCTTTTACAACGACGAGCTTACGTAGAGCTCGAGTTCGACCCTAAACGCGTTCCGTTTTCCCTTGCGCTTGAAAGTTATGATTTCTAGACCGCTTATTTATGTGATATATAAAATAACCGCTAACGAGGCTTGATAAATGCCTGTATGCTATTAAATTAGCAACAACTTTGCGAAACCACGCCTTAAATGCTTATATACTGAACGCAAATGTTTATTGTTACAGATCGAGGACGAAGGCAACCATGGCAACGATGACACTCGTCTGTTCATTCTCTCGACGCTGGCAGGACAGCACCGGCCACGCGTTTCGTGCGCACTATGCAAGGAAACTCTGGATGTCTTCGACCGCTACCCACTTGTTGATGGCACCTTCTTCCTGAGCCCGCGACAACATACGAGTAGCGCCGTTGAGGTACACACCTTAAACATTATTTCATCATTTATATAAGCAAGTAGAAAACTTCAAATAATTATGAAATATACTACAACTTACCAGTTATTTCAAAGATCATTGCAACTATTAAATACATTGAAATGCACCGTATTTAAAACTTTTCATTTCAATAAAAAGTTTGCTTTTGTGTTTGAAAAATCAAATCAATTGGTTAATAAGAATAACTTCAGAACATTAAGAGCTCAGAGTTGCGAGTTGCAAACTTTGACAAACTAGACAAGTTAATTTAATTACGTGTTATATAGTGTTGTTTGGGAACAGCAATAAAACGTATCTCGTTTTAATTCCTCCCTTTTAAATTGCTACAAAGTTACCCCTCGTAAACTTAAATAAGATCCCGCTAAGTTTATTTAAGTCCATAGTAACATGGCGGCTCATGAGACGGGTGCTTCTCGACTCGCGCTGTTTATTCAGTGAATTAGAAGACTGAATTTGTGAGCTTACGGATACTTGTTTAATGTTAGAGTTAGCAGGCCCTTGGCGGTCATCAGGCTTCCCCGGATGTCCTTTTTTAGACTTGTTAATTTTTTATAAGTTTTATTTGATTTAATGAGGGACAACAGTAGCTACTATCTCTGAAAAGGTAGATTTAATCGGTCAAATAACACCAAAGTGCTGTTCGAAAATTTTGAAATAGGCCTGGAATTGTTTCCAATAGTACGATTTTTTGTGTGCAGGTGAAAGTGGAGGGTCGTACGCAATACCTGACGTGCGTGTGCATGGGCTGCCTAGAGCGCTGCGATCCCGAGCGCACCATACGCTGCCGCTTCTGCGGACAGAAATGGGACGGCTCATCTCTCGTGCTAGGCACCATGTACTCGTACGACATCTTCATGGCGACCCCATGTTGCGCTGAGCGACTGAAGGTTGGTTATAAGTTTTAAGCAGAAATCATAGTAAATGCGAACCAGTCCATCGGAATACATGATATCAGAATAATTTTTTCCCGTGAGCCCTACAATCTTAATTATTTTGTATTTACTTGTACATCCTATGCCAGTTAGAAAGTTATTACACAGAAAATAAGACATACAAGTTTACACATACTAAATATAAATTGTGTTGTCCTCAGTGCAATACGTGCTACAAGCCATTGCTGCACCCGCACCAGCGCCTCAACTACTCCGATTACTCGCACCCGGTGACATGCCCGCACTGCCGCGTGCTCGACGCGCACTTCGTCAAGCCGCTCGGTTACTGCTTCACAAAACGGGCTTTCCCGCTCTTCCAGCAGTGGCCATAACAGACGGCGGTGCCGGGGGCCTCCCCCGGCACCTCGCCCGAAGCTTGGCTCGCGCCCTCGCCTCCGCGCCGCGCCTCGCCGCCTGCCCTGCGCCCCGTCGTCAACACTAGCATGGCCTCGCGTCCCGAATCCGACGAATCCAAGTACCTCGCGCCGGCGCTGGCTAGCATCACGGAGTCGCTGTCGCTGCTAGGTCTGAGCCCCGAGACGCTCGCCATTAGTGTGGGCGAGTCGCTGGCAGAGCGGTACCTGGCCACCATCCGTGCCAAGCCGCCGACCGCGCCCCCATTGGCGGTGCCCCTGGCCCCCGCCACGTGCGCCCCACCGCGCCGCGCCGTACCCGACCCTGGGCACCTGCAGCTCTTTTCCAACGACTTCATGGAATACCTGAACCAGATCGCTTAGGCGAGCGGTGGCGAGTGACGTGAATGGACTATTTTCTAGTGATATTTTTTGTTAAATTAAGTTGGTCTTATTGAAATAATTTTATGTATCGGTTTAGAGAGTACTATTGATTTTATTATAATTTTATTATTGCACTTTGTTGATTAAATAAGGTAGATGTTGATTTTTATCTGAAATTAGCGGTTAGTGGCGCCAGAAATTGCATTTTTGTGTCATTTATTTCGATTGAACCATATCGGGAGTTTTCCTTTTGAAGGAGATAAAGGGGAGTTTTTTTTTTATAAATTATTGATTACCTTCGTTTTCAGTGATATCGATCGCCCTATCTGATAGGGAATTTGAGTGGAGTGTTGTTTAGTTCAATTTAGTTTATTAGTTATGTTTTATTTTAGCAAAATTTTTAACTTTTTAACTTAAGTGTTACAATATTTTCGTAGGTTTCTTACGATCCTTTATTTCCTCCCACCAAATGGCACTTCAACCAGGAGGCAAACATCTACTTGTGTGAGATGCCATCTTAGTTTATTTTATATCACTTTTTTCTTTACATTATGTAATATTTCACTTAATTATGGTAAAGGTTTTTAATTGTAAGTGATTGCTGTGTCACCAATAATATGATTAGCTTTTAATACATATTATTGTAAGTTGTATCAGACACTGCTATTATCTGATACTGTCCTTTTGCGTTTGTTTTCCTTTGAAATGTTCTTCAATGGTTAACGGAAATCTCGAAATAATAATTTGCAAATTTTTGGAATAGTGCCATATCAAAAAAGAAATTGACTCCGTGAATCCGTAAACCATTGATGTTTTTTTTTTAAATTTATTTTTAATCAATAGAATTTACTCTCTTTTGTTATATAAAACTTTGACTTCGGCTGTTTAAGGTAAGGGAGTTTTCTTAATTGAACTGGTTATGTATTTATTTCTGAACATAGCGCTTTACCATTTATTAAACTGATATAGTTTAAGAAATGCACTTCTATTCTATTCGTAAATTAAAAGAATGAATTAGGTAAGGTTTTTGATACAATTTGATACTTATTACTTACTCGCAACGTGATTAAAAGTGATAAACTTCTAGTTTAGAGCGTGTTTAGGGATAAGTGATCAAAGTGGTGCGGATAGGCGTTCAAACACGTTTGCGTGTTGGCGGCGTGACAGATGTCGCGTGTTAGGCAATAATAATAATAATTCTTTGAAGACTTAACAATTTTTAGATGAAATTTTTTGCATTGGTCCTAAAGAAAATGAATTAAAACTGCCATTTACCATATTTTTTTACTTAATTAATTTAATAAAACTTATTCTACAGATTTTAATATGACATGATGAAATGATAACACACATTTTTAAATGATAACAGTATTCATAATAAAAAAAATAACCAGTGTCACTAAAAATGTTTGCAAATTTAAATTTGTTTAAATGAATCTCTTTAAAATCTGTAAAATTAGTTTTATTCAAAATGTAATTTGCCTAAATATAGGAAATCATCATTAAATGTCTAAGAACGTCTGTACTAAGACGTCTTAGCTCTTGACTGAATCATAAATTGCATAGACCTAACTCAATTGGTATACATTGAAGGAGAGTTGGATACTCGGGGCATACCTCCTTTGTCATATGCTCCATTCTTCCCCCTTCTCCTCTTGTATACCAGTTTAAGTTAATCATAGACACGTCATTCGTCATACGTCATCATCCGCATCACACCTCATTTACCATCTTTATCATCCAGCACTGTTTGAGTGGGAGTCGAACTGGCTAACAATGGTTTCACTAAATTAAAATTAAAAGAAAATATATCATTATCACGATCGAATTTCAAAAGTTTATTAAAAAATATTTTATAATACAGACAACATTTATAAAGAGTTGTTTATATATATCTATACTGTATATAAAAGGCATGGTAGGACAACTATTTAACGTGAAACCATGATGGCCAGTTCTTCGAGTGTGGTTGTAGTAACCCTTATAAATATTTTTATTAGTATCCTTTGCTTAAAAATAACTTTTAAGATTTGATACATACCCCTATTGTAAATATGCATTTAACACAGACGCTTACCTAATAGTTGATGAAGATGTTTAATGAAGATATATTATTGCATATTTTCTAGATTAGCCATAAATCGATAGTACATAAATTCAACATTATCAAAGATTACCCTAATTATTTAAAAAAAAAAAAGAAATACCGCCGAATTGTAATGACATTTCATATGTTAAACAATTTTAATTTTATCGGAGTTTGCTCGTTCGTAAATAGAATTATATTTAAAAAAAAGAAGTTTAATGTATATATGCATTTAATTAAATGTAAACAAAGTATTTGAGAAAATTAAACGAGCTGTTGTTGGTATATTTAGGAAAATATTAAAAAAAAAGAACCAGATCATCTGATGGTGGCCATGTACAAATGAGTAAGTGAAACGACATTACAATTCGGCAATTTAGACAAGACACATATTATAGAGACATAATTGTTTAATAGTCAAATACAGAGTCAAATAAGTAGACATTATCATAAGGCGTGTTTACATTTGCCCTTATAAAATATCAGGTCGATGACCTTCCCCTCACTCCGGTACAAATTCGAATAATATTTGGTAACCTTAAAAAAATAAAATATTTATCAATACCTCTTTAGATACTACAAATAGAAATAATAGCGGCACAAGATTGCTATTTGATTATTTAAAGTACCTTTTTCTTACAAATTTTATCGTGTAATTGTAAGTTAGTTTACATTCAACAGGATTCAAAACTATATTGTTTATATTCGCCTATTCTGCGAGTAACTTGACAAACCAGTGCATTGATACCTTTATTATTGTCATACATCAAACCTAATTTCTGAGACGAAAATCTCTATATAAAAATATCCCTGTCATCAACAAAACAGAGATAACAATGTGCTTTAAACGGAGATTTTGGTCCCAGAAACTCACCATTTGACAGTTTCCTTCAGCGTTTTTCAACCTGTGAGATGCGCAGCGTGGTCTAGAAGTCTCGTGAATTTGTTTTCCGTTTTCTACTAAGCAGCAATATTAACATGTAACGGTACAGATTTTTTTTATCCTTTTTCTGTAGTCCGTATCGATATTATAGCGTCGTCAAATAGCTTGGAAAAAACTGATTCAGTTAAGGGTTATGAAACATCACGCTTTAACCCTAAGGACGTTTTTATTGCATGCGGTTTGTCAAGGTACATTTCTTCCAGTTTCGTTACCTAATTTTCTAATTCATGTCTCCTATGCACAATGGGTTACGTAGATTCTAGACGGGATGTTATCCCACAATAGTTCTTATTTAATCCCCAAAGTCTACTATGCAATGATATACGAATATGTTTGATTCTTCATATTTTAACCAATGAGTTATTTGTTCAGTTTTAAATGTAATTACACGAACGTTGCAAATTTCTTAGTTTATTTGCACATAATTTGTTAAATTTTGTAATTAATAACAATTTATTTAGATGCCAACGTTCGAATTACGTGTTGAATTAATATGGTGTTATTTAGTGAATTGCTTAAAAGTACAAAGAAACAATTCGTTACTTTTGCAAATTTTATAATTAAAAAAAAATAAAACAATAAAATACATATAAAAAAATAACACTGACCTAGATAATCTTTACAAAATAGTCGCTGTAAATCCTAATCATAATCCTCGAATGATTCTCCTAAACTAAGTTTTATTGCTTTTAAAAGAAATTTTGTCTTTCGTTGATAAATTTAGGAGCGAAAATTGTTAATTATTATAAGTATAAACTATATCTTGTATTTAATTTTAATATATTTACTTTATCTCGTATCTTTAATTACTATTAGTGTACTAGGAACGCAGAAGACGTAGGCCTGCCATCGGGCATAATAATCTGTTTTTCTATCGCTTATGAGTGTAGGATAACGACCTTATTTCCCCTACTTCCTCTATTAGATTCGTAGTGTTTTCTTTAATAATAATGTATGAATGGGAATGTATGAGTGACGTCACAATTTAAATCATCGTAGCATTCTTTTCATTGTCTTATTACTTATTGCTAATCGATCTCGTTTAAGACGAGATATTTTATAATATCGTGTACGGTCTGGTCATAGGCGCGAAGCGATGCGACGCGTATAATTACGTCAAATTAATATGTACTTCCTTTTATTCATTTAAATCATGAAATATGAATAATTTTACTTTAACGCTCTAAAGTTTTCTATACAAAAAATAGATTAAAAAAAATAACAGATATTTTTGAAACTTTACACACTGAAAACATTTTTGAAATTAAATTATCATCGCAAGAAATTTTTTGTTACATAAAATTGCAACACTCAAAACATCGTACGTTTAGAGCGCCAAAGTGATATTATTCGTATGGAACAATAATTCCATTTTTTAACATTATGTTGATCATTAAAACGCCACATAAATTGTACCATAACTATTAGCGTTATTATTACGGCGTTGGGAATATTCGGCGCGTAAATTGATGTGATAGATATCGATGAAGGCTGCATTCGGAACAGAATAAGTGTAGGTTCGTAAAACAAGTCTGTTGAAACATGGCGTAGTTGGCAAATGAAGCTCGCCTAGTTATTGTCAATAT